ACACTCAATTGACATCACTAGAATGTGCGGCATCGGAGCCCCGCTCGTTAAGGCGGCAGCTGTGCCCCAACAACCGCAACCGCTGGCGCCACTGTCCATCACATGTTGCCCGGTCTACTGACGCCGCTTATGCCTGCAAGGTCAAGCGCGTGCCGCGCCAGCTCCCACCTCAGGCTGGAAGAGCATGAAGCACGTGCGTCTGTGCCTCACAGGGCTGCAACCAGACGTCGTCCGCGTGCTGGCGCGCATGCCGGCTGCAGAGCCGGCACATTCGCCACGCAGGCCCACGACACGTGGAGAAGGCGGGACCACTCGGATGCTTGATCACTGCACGCCCCCCCCTCGCAACACTGGCAGGAGGGCTGCAATTCCGAGTGGCAGCGCTGTCAACACCACAAAGGCAAGGTTCTCATCGCGGCTCACAGCATGCTTTTGTGGTCGTTCCCTGTGGAGGTTTTGATGCAACCCCCGAGTCCTCCATGCAACGCGACGGCCCTGGGCTGGGAAGGCTGCATAGGCTGCATAGGCCGCGTCGGCTGCAGAGGCTGCAGAGGCTGCACGCGCCGCATGCTGCACAGCTGTGGATGGATGCACTCCGGCTCGCAACTGACCACACGGCAGAAGGACTGCAGCGCTTCCGCCATGACGACTTCTTGAAGGGGTTTAGTGCCTCGGGTTTAGGACAGGACCCAGCAAGGCCCTGGGCAGGGACGGCGCGATGGAAGGGTGACAGGAGCTGGAGAGCTGGAAGAGCCCCTAAGACATGTCAGAAAGGTTTTCCCGCTCAAGGTCTGGAACTCGCTGCAAGGAAGGCGAAAGCAAATGCTTGTTGCAGACGTGGAATGCAAAACCCTGTCTTTAAGCAACTCATTGAAAAACAAGGGCCTGGGCAAACCCCGTTGGCAAGTGATGGCTTCCATCTGCACAGCCTAAGGCCCAGTTGCTTGCCAGCAGTCATGCGGTGTTCCATCGTGCGCAAGGCCTCCAATTGGGGTCGATGAGGAATCACCTCATCACATCGATGTCAATCTTCAGCTGCACCTGCCAGGAAGCAACACCGCCCACGACTCCGGCTCTGAATCTGGGTCGAGGGATTAAGGTTTTGGGTTATGGTTTTTGTCCATCGGCTAGCTGACTGTGTCCGTACTGCAGGGACGAAACGAGAGTTCCAGGGTTATTGCTGGTGTGATCACGAAGCGGGCCATCAACACACCAACTTTCAGAAGACAACCAGGACGCCCGCCAAGTGATCAGAGACCCGAAAACTTTGAGACGGACTTCTACTCAGCGTACGTACTGCAAACTGCTGTTGTGACGGCCAGGGTTTAATTAGTCAACCAGCTCCACCAGCCACCAGGCTGATGCAGCCCCCCACTTGCGACTCATACGTACACAAAGTGGCACCCCAAACACGCCAAGCTCAAGCTCCGCCCAGCCTGCGTGAGAGGAGGCGTTCCGTCAGGCCCGGTTCCACGAGCAGGTGCCTCAAGCACAAATAAACGACTTGGCGGGTGTTAGTAAGGCCATTACGAATCCTCAGGTTCACGATGCTCGAGGAATTTCGCCTCTGTCAAAAGCCAACCCTTGAACCTTCGCACGCCCAAGAAATTACTTGGCCGTACCGAAACTTCCAACAGCTACTGCAGCCCAGCAAGGCACCGAACCCAAACTGCTGCGCTGCTCCGGCGGACAACGCCCGAAGCCGTCATGTGACAACAGGATCAAGACTGGAAATAATCACGATAAATGACAGTTACAGGTGAGCCGATGCTACTTGCATGTCGGACCTTCGTAAACCAGTATCGACCCCGCGTGTCTCCAGTCAACAAACAGCAGCTTTTCCAAACGCCGCTTCCGCCAGATCTTGCTAGGCTGTGCCCAAAGAGCCCCATATTCGCTTCGTTAAGAAAATGGGCGATTAAATTATATTCAGGATCCCTCTAGAACCCTAAACCCTAAACCCTAAAGCCTAAACCCTAAACCCTAAACCTGGGGATATTCCTTACCTCAGGGGTAGAACAAGGGCTCTCTGGGTAAGTATTGGGCAGCCGACTCACCAGGGCTCCTGCGATCCCGAGTCGCCACAGCATCTCGCCCCCCTCTAGCCTAGTGGGTTTAGGGTTTAGGGTTTAGGGTTTGGGGTTTAGGGTTTGCTCGGACTAACTTCCCTCCAGAATGCTCAACTTGCTGAGTGTCAACAGTGCACATCGCACTTGGCCAAGACAGGATCTGCAGGAGAGATCCAAAAACATCAACGGTGGGCCCTGGCCCTTTTTGAAGGAGTAGATGCTGGAGTACTGGTCAGTTTCAATCGTTTGCTACCTGTTAATTCGTTACTCCAAGCCCTACTAGGCTGCCCAGCAACCTAGGCTTAAAAAGGGTACCCTTTTTTGCTTAAAGGGGTTTATACGGGAACCTAAACCCCCCCACAAAGGGAATAAGGGTACTACTGGGCATCCTAGCCTATAGCTTGTACGCTCCAGGGGTCGCCACAGCGTTGGCTTCAAAAAGGGCCCCCTTGGTCACGCATGCAGACGATCGCACCTGAAGGCCGGCAGGGGATGTCATCCGCGGTCCAAAGGGGAGCAGGATGTCTGCTCAAAAGGGGAGCAGGACGGAGCAGACATCAACAACTTTCTCTTCCCTCGCTCTTCACTCTCGTTGTCATATCTTCTGCCGAGGGCGTGTTGGCCCGAGAGGCCTCAGGCCCTCAGCAGCTAATTTAAACGCTTCGTCGTGGCGAGGGTCGCAGACGTGGCCATCGAATTCCAGGCACGTGCACATTTGCGAGTTGACGAAAACAGGGGACCCCTATAATAAAGCCCCCAATAGTAGGATTCCCGTATAATTCATCAGGACCCAAATAAGGTACCCCTTCATTTCGGAAACTCCATTTGGGATTGAAGGGGGGAACAACGATGTGCTCTGCCGACCAAAAACTGCACCCGCTAACTGTCAAGGACTGAGAGAAAAGAGCACGCTGACCCCCCACGGCATCTCGCAAATGCCAATAACGACCTCCAAGACAACAGGGACTCCGATCCACATTCATTGGATGCTGCTGAGCCCTCTACACCCTATGATCTCCAAGCTCTAAACTAGGTAACCCCTAACTATACAAATTACCCCTAACAAATTACCTTAAACCCTACACCTAAACCCTAAACCCCAAACCCAAAACCCACAACGCTAGCCCAATCAAAACCCAGGAGCCCCGTCGTGGAAGGCATCTGAGGTCCTCACAAACTCGCCCAGGAAACGAAAATGTCCTCCGCCCCCCCCAGGTCCCGACGGCTCCAGCAGTGAAGTCGATTTATAGGGTTTAGGGTTTAGGGTTTTGAGACTGGATTTGTGCGATCCACTACGGAGCCTATTTTGACTAAGGAGCTGAGCTCAAAGACGTCTGCGGAGTGCACTAAACTCGCCCTGTCTTAGGGGAGGGAACTACAAGGTTAAACCCTAAACCCTAAAACCAAGGATCCTATGGAAAAGCCATCGAATTCCAGGCACGTGCACATTTGCGAGTTGACGAAAACAGGGGACCCCTATAATAAAGCCCCCAATAGTAGGATTCCCGTATAATTCATCAGGACCCAAATAAGGTACCCCTTCATTTCAGAAACTCCATTTGGGATTGAAGGGGGGAACAACGATGTGCTCTGCCGACCAAAAACTGCACCCGCTAACTGTCAAGGACTGAGAGAAAAGAGCACGCTGACCCCCCACGGCATCTCGCAAATGCCAATAACGACCTCCAAGACAACAGGGACTCCGATCCACATTCATGGATGCTGCTGAGCCCTCTACACCCTTTGATCTCCAAGCTCTAAACTAGGTAACCCCTAACTATACAAATTACCCCTAACAAATTACCTTAAACCTTACACCTAAACCCTAAACCCCAAACCCAAAACCCACAACGCTAGCCCAATCAAAACCCAGGAGCCCCGTCGTGGAAGGCATCTGAGGTCCTCACAAACTCGCCCAGGAAACGAAAATGTCCTCCGCCCCCCCCAGGTCCCGACGGCTCCAGCAGTGAAGTCGATTTATAGGGTTTAGGGTTTAGGGTTTTGAGACTGGATTTGTGCGATCCACTACGGAGCCTATTTTGACTAAGGAGCTGAGCTCAAAGACGTCTGCGGAGTGCACTAAACTCGCCCTGTCTTAGGGGAGGGAACTACAAGGTTAAACCCTAAACCCTAAAACCAAGGATCCTATGGAAAAGAACTCAAGCAGCTACGGCATGACCTCGGTTGTACTCTACAGGGTCCTAGAAGAGAGTGGATTTCACAAGGGTTTGGGGTTTAGGGTTTGGGTTTAGGGTTTTAGGGCTGCTTGGAGGTTCAAGGGTAGTTATAAGGAGGGTTTTAAGTTGCTTCTAAAAGTTCTGTTGACATTCAAGGGACTCTCGAGAAGAGACGGGTGGGCGTGGAGGAGCGCGCGTTCCCTGAGATGCCGCAAGCTTGCGAGAACAAGGCCTGCGCAGCAGCTCCATTCAAGCACGAGGTTATCATTCCTAGGATGGCCCTAAAGGGTTTAGGGTTTAGGGTTTAGGGTTTAGGGTTTAGGGACAAAACAACCTAAATAGAGTCCTCTCAAACCCAATCGGGGAAATATGAAATGTCGCCAGGGCCAACCGAGTTTCGAGTTGAGAGATGCGGGATGGTCGGGCGAGCTTGTAAGATGATACTACGATCGAGCAGTCTGGGCCTCTCCTGCGCAGGATGGGAATGATGCTCATGGTACAGTACAAGCAGAGTGGCTGCATACTGTTCGAATTGTTGCACGTTGTGTGGCCGCCTGCATCACACCAGACCTTGCACACAAGCCTGACATCTGTCACAGGCAAGTGTAAAGTGGCTCGTGGGCTGCTGCCTAACACCCCTAAATCTAAACCATTCTGACTTTGGTAGTTGGATTCGGGCTTATAGCTCTTAAGGCGGATCGAGCCGTGAGACGGCGCATGCATGCAGCTGGGATTGCATGCATGGATTACCCTGTTAATTAATCCCGACAAGCTCACCAGACCGACGTAGCGTTTCCATCGCCTGGCTAAGGTGACGTTGGAACTGGTCGCGGTCCAACCGATGAGATGCCATGCTGAGTAGGGCTCCAAAGGACATCCTCCCCATCACTTTGGCAAGCTTGCGAGTCTTGGTGTCCATGGCTGATTCATCCAGCTCAGCAACGTCCGCGCCCCCGCACCAGAAGCGCAGCTCTTCTTCGAAGACGGCAAGAACACCGGCAGCCTCGTCTGGCATGCCGGTCACGACAGCACGCTCACGCAGGAAGTGCAACACCAACGTAAGGAGCTGCGCCTTGGTGATCTCGTCCAGTGTGGAGCGCTGGTTCTTGTCCAACTTGGGCCCGCGGTTGGAGTGCGGGTAATGGCAGAAGGTGCATGTGGCACCATTCTGACAGAAGCCCCTGTTGAAGTACACGCATGGTCGGCGGCACACCTCGGGATGCCCTACACTCCCTTCGCTGAAGGAGCCCGGAAGTGTGTGTGGGGGGGGGGGGGGGACAAGGCGGGCACTTCGGGCTGAACCTCGTCACCTTCAGTCGCAGCCGGCTGGGCTTCATAGCCTTGTGCACCTTTTTGGCTGACCTCTTGCGAGAGCTCCTCCAAACTCCGGGACAGCTTGTCCACATAGCTTTTCAGCTGTCGCTCCTCGAACTCCGCGTCGCACTCCAACGTCCTCCTGTACGTGGCCGGAGCGGAAGAGGATCGCACAAGTGAGCCTGACAGCTCAAACGGGTCCTCGTAGACGTCAATGAAAGTCGCACGATACTCAAGCTCCAACGCCATCAAGCCGCTGAGTAAAATGTTTGACAGCGCAACTGCTTCCTGCGGTGGCCGACAAGCTATGTCAGCAGGTGGGCTTGATGATCGCTACACGGTCTACGCACTAAAAAGGCTTCAACCAAAAATCTCGCATTTTATCTGTAGATGCAAGAAGCGCACACCCTCACACAAAACACGCAACATAGCAAGGAACTAAGACCTGTGGACAATCTATTAGGGGTCACACGCGCTTCTGTTCGGCTGCGTAGAGACATGGAGGTTCTGACAACCCTGGGTCACACGTTCACCAGGCTGCTTTTTACCACAGGCTGAACTCAGAAAACTGCCCTCCCCAAAGAGCCCAATACCTCTTAGTCAAGGAATATGCCAAAATATCACATATTCAGGATCCCTATATACCAAAGGGTTGTTCTAAACACCAAAGTCAATGGCTTTTGACTGGTCCGCCGTAGGACGGGGTTCAGGGTTTCGGCTTCGAGTTCTTAGTTGCTGAGTTCAGCAGCCCCAAAAAAGACTACACTTTCGGTTCTTTAAGTTAGGGCCAGGCATGCCTCAACTCATTTTTCAGAACGCTTTTTCCTCACACGTTTTTTCCCTAGGGGGGAGTATACATTTTCCAATTTCCAAAATATTTTTCCTCATTTTTGACATCAGCCCCTCGCACGTTTTCCATCAAAAAAATCACTAAAATTTACAAAACATATTATATAAAATTTAAAAAATCAATTTTTCAATCAGCATAATAAATTCAATTTTATTTTTTGTAAATTTTAGGTCACTTTTCAAGCAGTCAAATAATTCAAAAAATCATAAAATTTCATAAATTTATGATAAAAAATTCATAAATTTTGTGAAAATTTTATCATAAGTTTTCATAAAATTTATTCAAATTTTTGAACAAATTTTATCATAAATTTTATTACAAAAATTCATAAATTTTGTGATATTTTTTGTGATATATTTTTGTTAAATTATAAATTTAATAAAAATTATTCAAAAGTTTTGAACAATTTTTGTGATAATTTTTTGTGATAATTTTTTATTCTATATTTTTATTTTTCATATCTTCAAGCTCTTTTAATATTACATTGTTTTTATGTGTAACTGATTTCTCATGTTGTGATTTTTTGTAATGTTTTACATCATAATTACAAAACGGACAATGATAAATTAATTTCATATATCCTTTTCTATATACTTCTAGATTTTCTTTATTGTCCTGCTTGTATTGTTTTTTGCGTTCTGCGATTTGCTCCTTATGATTTTCCCTGTATTGTTTTTCTCTAGCTTTCACTTTTTCTCGGTTTTCATTGTTGTATCTTATTTGACGGTTCCTACAATAATTACACATTTCATAATCGTCTGTAAAATAATCTAACTGTCTGGTTTTATTACAACTGTTACAAAACTTTGCTGACATAATACGATAGATACTATTATCTGGTATTATCCCTTTAAGCATATACCATATAATATTTTTATCTTCATTTCTTTAAGTCTGTATCGTATAGTGCAATTTATGAATTGTTATTTTCATACAGTTCTATTAGTTCTTTTTGTAGTTCAATTTGTTTTTCTAAATACTTCATTTCCTTATCTAAATGTTCCTGTTCTTCTTTTTCTATAACGCATTTTTGTTTAATTTCTATAATTTTGCTTTCCCTACTTTCTTTGATAATTTCTAGTTTCTCTAATTCGTGCTTTGCCTGTTTGTATAAAATTTCAAATAATTCATCTTGAATTGATTTTTTCATATATATAATACTATATATTTTAGTTTTTAAAACTTTTAAAACTTTTAAAAAATACATATTTCAGTAAAGATTATTTATTTACTGTAATATTTGTAAGCTTTTATTTTCTAAATATTTCGTCTCTATATAAATTTTTGAGTTCTTTCAGATATCCCTTTTTCATTTCCTTATCACCTGCTGACTTGATCCAATTGTTATATATTTTTCTATAACTTCTGTAAGTTCTAGTGTTTATTGTATTTCGGTTATTTGCTTCTTCAAATACTTCTCTTAATTTTTGTATGCCTATCTTGCTTGGTTTGATTAATGTAGGTTCGTCCATATCTTGCTCTTCTACTGTTCCTTCCTTCATATTCGTTTTTCTGGTTAAACGTCTCGGTGATACATTTTCTGGTTGTTGTGGTGTTCTATCCTTAAATATTTCACTAAATAATGTCTTGACATCTCGCACATTGTCAGTGGTGACATTTCTACTAGTGTTAATTTCCGTAAATATTCTCTTTAATTTATCTTCGTCAGTTTGTGATAAATTATTTCGTAGTTTTGCAATTCTAAATAATTCTACTACTGTATTGAAATTAATTTTTTGAGGGTCTATACTTGAATAATCATTCAAATTTAATTTTGCTAGTGTTTTTGCAATTTGCTTATCGGTTAATCCGCCATGTTCTGCTCCCCATACTGGGAAAATATTTTGTTCATCTACTTGTCTCATTAAATTTTTGATTTCTTGGTTTTCTTCTTGTTGTGGAGGTGGCGCATTTCCGCTTGAACTTGACGATGCTCCTCCTTGTTGAAAATTAGGTTGTGGTGCTGGTTTTGGGCTTGGTTTTGCTTTTGGTTCCGCTGGTCTCTGTGGTGGTGTTGCTGGTGGCGTTGCCTTTGGTATTGGTGGTAATTCTGCTTGTGTTGGTTGGCTTGATGATGCAATCGGTAACGGTTGTTGAGTGGCTCCTATATTTGGTTGATGCGGTTGTAAAACTATTGAAGGTTCTAAGTATTGTGTGTTTGGTATTGGTGTTGGGTCATATGTTGTATATTGTCCGTCTCTGGCTGTTCCTGAAAAATCTAATAAAGGTCTAGGTTGTGGCAATAATCTATTCATTGCTAACTGTGCCACTTCTTGCGAAAGTCCTGTAGCAAGAGATGAACCAAAATCCATACCAGAAATCATATTTCCTGCAACATTGCTCCCTACTCTTAAAGCTCCACTACCTACACTTAACGCCCCGCGTCCTACTCTTAAAGCCCCACTTCCTAGACTTCTTAAAATTCCCGACCCACCTTCCTCCTCTCTTTCTAACTGTTGTTGATGTGCTTCATAAATTGCTTGTTGGTTGCTTTGTTGTGCCGTTGCTATGTTTCCTAATGTTTCATTTATTTGTGCTAATTGTTGTTCTTGTGGTGTGCCGTATTCTTCAATATAAGACATGTCATCGGGGTCAGTTCCTATATGAAATTGTTCCGGTGTTCTCGGTTGTTCTGGTTCAGGTCTGTCGTGCTGTGTAAATGCTTTATATGTCGTATCATTATCTTCTGCATATTGTCGTTTCATGAGATCCCTAGCAATTGCTTCAGCAATTTGTTTTTCTTGAATTTTCAATTTGTCTAAATGATCCTTGCCATCAAAACGAGTTCCTTTATTGCTTTGTTTATAAAATACAGCATCTCTATTAGGAAATGGTTTTAACGCGTCTTCGTTATCATTAACTAGCTCTAAAATATCTTCATATCTAGATCTTCTATGAAATTGTATTCCAGCATTTTTAACTACCATTCTTTTTTATATATTGTTTTAGAAAATAGACTCGCTTAATTCGCTTAATGTTTCAACCCTTTTTTTCAGATGTTTTACTGAAGCATCGGGTATTCGTGGATTATGTATTTCCCCTTTCAATCTTGCTATTTCGGTTTCATAATTTGCTTTCATTTGACCCTCTAATAGTCTTCGTTTAAACGCCAGATTTTTCTCTTTCGCCTCTCTCGCTTCTAATTGTTTTTTCAAATTCAATAGATAGTCCAGATTTTGTTGACGATATACCAGATCTTCGGATGAATTTACCACAGGATTATCTAATGATTTTTTCTTATGTAGTTTTTTATTTTTTTGAAATTTAAACCTATTATATAGAACCATATATATTATTATTTAGATTTTTTACTTCTAGCCTGAAACATAGCTTTACACATATTATCTGATTTTTCTTGTCTTCTTCTCATAATTTCGGCGTTCATTGATCTCATTTGTAATTGTAATAATTGCTGTTGTGTTAAATTTGCATAAGGGTTTAATGGTTGTTGTTGTATTTGTTGTGGTGGTTTAGCTGGCATTGCTTTAGATAAGGGTTGTTGTTGTTCTTGATATTGTTGTGGTTCTACTAAATTATTTTCTTGTGGTTCTGGTGCTAATGGTTCAACATTTATTTTTGTTTTTTTCTAGGTGCATATTTTTTAACTGGTTTATCAATAATATTACTCGGTTTCTTTTCACACACGCTAGGATGACTATATCGTAAAGTTTTAGTCGTCATAGGTTTTTTACAGTCTTTACATTCTGTAGGATTTTTTTATAACTTCTGTAATTTTTACTCGTTTTTGTTCTTCATTCACAGGTTCAATTTTTTCAACTTCTGTTTCCGGCGGTGCTTCAGTTGCTTCGTTTTCAGGTTCATCGTTAGTTACAACATTTTCTGAATTTTGTTCTGACATATATAACATTCTATATATTTTCTATTCAAAATTACATAGCATCTGTATTATGGAAGAGGAGGCTAAATGACAAATTAACACCGTTGAAATTTATAAGGTTGCCTATTTCATCAGTTATTCTAAATGTTAGTTTTCTTATTGAACGACGCGAGACATTTACATAATCATAATCCGTGACACCATAAGGATCATTTATAATACTAGCAAATGAAGCATTTACAGGAATTTTTTTTACTATGGCATTTGAAAATGTTGAGGGACTGTGAAAATTATTATTTGATAATTCAGGACACGAGATATAAATGTCTTGATGTGCTAATAAATTTATAAATCCAGAAACCCACGGAACAGTAGAAGTTGAAAAATCTTGAGGTATAGGTGTATTTAAAACACTGTTTATACTGTTTAAATTGTTTAGATCAACATTATTTGAAAAAGACCCTATAAAATTTGCAATCAAACTATCGGGAAGAACAATAAAAATAATTTCTGAAAAGTTTGTTTCAATTGTTATTTTATTTAAAATTGTATTGTATGTAA